GTAAGCCCCGATTGGCCCTGACAAAGCTGCTATAGTGTGTTCGTATTGGAACAGGACATTAAGAATTTAAAAGGGTGTTTGGAAGACACATAAATTATATAGAAATAATCTGCTCTCTGGAATCCAAAGCCACAGAAAATTCTTCCCTATCAAACAGCTCCTCAGCATTGGACAACATCCATGAAGACACACTTTCTGTGATTAGGGAGGACCCATCAGTGAAATGTGGTAGAGGACCTGATCTTGGGACTTTTTGGAAAGACCAGACCAACATGGCACTTATCAGGTGCCCATAATGTCCTTATTAGATACTCTCCAGAGGACAGGCCTCAGATCAGAAACGTGAGATGCAAGCAGAGCCACCAGTGTCCCGTTACCCTGCGACTGCTCCAGGATTGCCCAGGAGCTAGGGCTCCTTGGCAGTAACCGTCCGCAGTAGCAAGTGTGACAGAGCTGTGGTCTGTCAGCTTGTGTGGTCTAAAGGCCTGGTGAGATGGTGGGCAGGAAGGGGCTGGTGTGCACTTGGGTCTAATGGGAGTGCAATGACCCAGATGACCAGCGGCGCTGCTTCAGGGGGAGGACAGGCACAGGGAAATTTCCCTGCACATGGCCTCCCTCTACCCCGCCTAATGCTGGCCCACCACCCTGGACCTCCTGACCATCTCCGGAATCTGTGATTGTTTTGAGAGCTTGGTAGTGAGTGAGGGTTTTTATTCCCTTTGCTTCTTAAAAAAATATCAGTCAAATAATTTATGAATTTCTGCTAAAATCGGATAACTATTTAGATATTTTTTCTCATTCTTTGATTTTTATTAGCTGACTAAGGTAATGTTTGAAAATCAGTATTGAGCCCTGGCCACTGCGGCTCAGTTGATTGAACATCTATCTTTCTCTTTTTCTTCTGTCTCTCACTCCCTTTCTCTTCATCTCACTGTAGAATCAATAAAACATATTTATTTAAAAAATCGATATCCAGTATTTTCTTAGGCCACTGGCTTGGGCTGCTATTAGAAGGTACTAGTAGGAGCTGCTCATCTTCCGCTGAATTTTCTGTTAATGTAGATGGCCTTTCTGTTGCAAGTAAACACTGCATGCCTTTGAGCAGACTGAGTCGCCTGGAGGTCTTCCCTTGTGCTGCTGTTTCTGTGTACCTTGTCTTGCTCGTAGTATGATTGCTCTGATTTTGGTTTATTTTGATTTTCCTATCATGATTTAGGCTTTAAATGTCAATGTTACATTCATTTTAAATCATTAAAACTACATTGATGAGGGGACAATCAGCAAAACTAACCTTAAAGTGTTAAGTAGCATAGATTCTTCTATCTCAAGACATTTAAGAAATGGACTCAAGAGATTAATTATTATGTTTTTGTTGAGAGAGATCTGCATAATAGGTGCTTACTACACTTTTACTGAACAATATAAAGTTTAAATTTAATTTTTGACAATATAGCATCCAGGAAGAGTTTATAATTTCAGCCTGTTCTCAGGCAAATGGAAATATATTTTTATGCCAGTTTTCATTTGTACTCTAATTTTTACTTAAAAAATCAGAGTAAAAGCAGTATGTAAATGGGTACTTTCATAACTTGGGCCATTATTTTTTATTTTACATTCAAGTGGCATGTTCTCCCCCATTCCCAATGCCACCTGGGAGGATTTTCTTCACCTCGTTCTCTTTTTACACTTCCCAGTTAATATTTCATAACCCATGTAAGGATGCCCCTCAGAGCTGGAACAGCTCCTATGGGACAATCAGGGAAGTGTTCATTTGATTTTACTATTGAGGATTTTACTTATTGATCAGTTGTTGGCACATAGAAATGCCAACGGTAGTTTTCATTAACATTTCATCCTATTTGAAATTCTAAGGTGATGATGAGATTGTCCCTTAAGGAATAGGGGTACTTGGGAAAGGGTTTGTTGGTCACTGATAACATTTAGTGTCTAATTAGCCTAATATATGAAAGATTTGAAGATGTCGGGCCCTATAATTTCCTTTACTCACTGTATTTTTGGGGTTATAATGCAATATTTGTTAACACCCTTGGAGAATGGTTGATTAGCAGCCTAGAAAGAGGGTAGAACTCTGGGCATTGTGCCTTCTTTGCCCTTTAGGGCAGTACCGAGGAAGTGTGGGGTGGAGGTTTGGGTTTTGGATTATTGCCTCAGTGAAGAAGAGTAAGTGGGAGTTGGAGTTGGTTTTAGCTTAAAGGGGAGAGAGGAAGGGATTCTTAGCCCATGTGTGCTTGTCCTGCATCATTCAGCATCCAGCAGTATTTTGTGGATAACTGATCTAAGTTGATACTAAAAGAAATCTTTTTGTGTCTGATCTCTAGCAGGGGGAGCAATCTCTGAACTGTTATGAAGATCCTTGAAGTGCTTCGATCTTTCCCACTTTTCCATCATGTGGCTCTGGACACTTCAGTCATTTGAAAGTGACTTTAATTTAAAGCAAATGCCTCTGCTTCGCTCAGGAGGTGGAAGGAGTGAATTTTATGTTTGAATGAAGAAGTGAATTATGAACGAAGAGTACGCCCTTTCCCTTTCAAGCATAAGTCCAAATAGGCTCTCAGGAATGCAGATTTGTGAAGACATCGAATGGGAGTTTGACTCACTCACACTTTAATCTGAGTTACATTGCTGGAGAAAAGATACTTGTTTTGCTCATCTAATCTCACTGTACCCAGCATCATTTTGACCTGTCATTTCCTGTCTCCTACCTGCCTTCTATCCTCGGTGCATGTCCTTGAGTAACTTGTTCTTATCTGAAACTCTGCTACCAGTATCCTTGGAAACTTCTGTTGCATATTCTTCCATTTTGAAACTTAACCATTGGCCAGATTCCTTCTGTATTTCCATATTGAGTACAAAGGATGGGCAAAGAAGAGAGCGCTTGAAACATTTGACATTTTTAGAAAGGGAAGAACGATGAGAAAGTCCTAATGGACCCCATTTGGCTCAAGCTGGGCTGCAAGAGGGGTTTTTGTTTTCCTTTCACTGCATGTTCCCTTCAGTTTGGCTCATTCACACATTAATCATGTTTTTTTTTTTTTTTTTTGTGTGTGTGTGTGTGTGTGTGTGTGTGTGTGTGTGTGTAGTTTTTTTTTTAAGGTAGCTAGTTTCATTTGTCTCCAGCAAAGAATCATCAGTAGTTTATATTGCTTTACTTGTGCTGGCTTCCAGAGATGGAAACAAACCAAGGTATCTCTCAAACAGGCTTTTTTATCCGGGTGGGGGAATCTATGCAAGAACTACAGTAAAGCCGCCCAAAATCAAAGCAGCAGCAACAGTTCAAATCACAGATGAAGGAACAAACCTTTCTTATCATTGCTTGTGAATATCTGTCCTTCTGTCAGTCATCGCATCTTCCCCTCCTTGTATCCAAGCTCCTTTTCCTATGACATGTTCCAGTCACTTCCTTTCTATGAAAGGTTGCTTAGCTTTTAAAAAAAATTTTTTTACATCTTGCTTTTGCTGTTCTTTTATATAAAAGGTAGCAGATTGGATGGATGTGTACATTAGGTGTTTGAAATTCTCTGAAAATCCAGAGTAAAGAAACCAGGTGTGTGTGGGGGGAGTCGGGGGTAGAGGGGAGGGGGGTTGGTCACTGGTCTGAGGAGAGCTTTTAGCTGACCAGAGTGCTTAACCTGCATCACCATTTTCACAGGGTTTTCAAAGGGGAGTTTGCACACTGCTTGTTGTGAAATCTCTATCAGCTGGTGGGCGCTCCTCTAGGATTGGATTTTAGGATGGAAATCAAGGTAAAGCACATCAGTCAGAGAGAGCCTCTGTCCCTTTCGACCTTTTCGAACCAAAATATTCAGTGGTTGATGAGCTGTCCTTGAGTCAGCTGCAACATGTCTATATTTTTAGATGCCACTACTTTTTCCTCAAATGCTTGTTTTGTGAATTTCATTTCATATTTCATCTCAGACCGGTGGTTGAGATTAGTAGGTGGCTCACTGACATATTTTCATTTGCAGACATTCCATTCCACATCCGTGTGCTGTGTACTGCAATAGTGTGCAAACCAACACAAAGGCTTCTGGCAGCAGCTCCTCATAATTATTTATGCTTTTGGAATTTTTTCAGATCCTAAAATCTGTCCATTTCAGTGTGATTTTCTCAGTTTGTACCATATAAGCGTATCATCTTCTTCCCCCTTTTCAACCCCCTCCTTTTGTTTTCTAATGCTCCGTAGTTTTGTACAAGATGAGACTTAGCCTTGGGTACTTCTTGCTGAAGCTTTAATGCTTTGTAAATAAAACTGGATGTTTATTAAAGAGCAGGTGTAGATGCGTGTTTGTAGGCACTCACCACTTCTGAAACTCACCTGCCCCTTTGCTTTATGACAGAAAAGGATCTTTCTTCATGAAAATACAGAGCTGGGAGGAGGAGGGGTGCTCAGGTATCCAGGTTTCTGCCTCGACAAGATTATAAATAAACCATTCAAACAAAAGGCGTTACAAAGATCATCTAGGAATGATCTCTTCCTATTTTTAAATGCAGTATAAGTGTGTATAATGACTGTGGAGGCCCCAGTGCTGGGAGGTGTTCTGTAGGTTATAGAAACGCATGCGAGGAGGTTCCTGCCTTCCAAGGAGCTTCTTAACACCCATGAGCACAGTTCAGTTCCCCTCTACTGGCCCTTTCCCCCTGGATTAAATAGCTTCAGAACCCACTGAATATGTGTTGTCTCTTAACAAGATGTTTCATAAAGGCTAGTTTAGTGTTTGCTTTTAATCATCACATCTGCGTGTTTGCCTACTAATCTTTTCTATTATGTGACAGAATCCGTCTTTGACATCATAGCTGTTTCATAGCAACATTGGCCCAAGTGAAAGATGAGCTCCTCTGGCCTCCAGGAGGAAGGGCACAGGCCTAGAGCAGGGAGAATCGTGCGTCCTCTCCTCCAGAGAATTCCTTTGTGTCCTTGGGAAGAAAAAGTGCCTGGGAGGTGGAGAGGAGCTTTCATGTCGGTACCTTGCTGAGAACAGTTGATTTTTAAAAGGGCTCTTGGCCCTTGTCTTCATGAATTTTTATTTCTGTTTAAAATTCCTTACACAGGAACAGTATCTCACACTTTACAAAGTATTTTTGTGTACACTTTTTCATTTGATGCTCAAAATGACCTTCCTGAAATAGGCATGAAGGTTTTAAACTTACAGAGGAGAAATTAGACATATTGGTTCTGGATATGTCACTTGCCTCCTAGTTCGGAGTTCTTAGTCCTTTTTATAGAAGATTTAGGAGCATTGTCAGTAACTTAATTCAAGGTGGTCCTCTCAAGTCCTTTTAAGACTTGATTTCTTACTTGGTCAGATTTAGCTGGGGTTTTGAAACCCTTCAAATTAGATCCACAATTTGGCTGGGAGGGCAAAGAGTGAGGGGAAACTCACTCTTTGAAGTCAAGTAGCTGAGGTGGTTTGGAAATTCACTTCAGCTTCTGAGATCTTTGTCTTCCCCAGAGGTGGACTTAAAGTATTGAAAGAATTGGAAAGAAGGGATTGATTGGTAAGAGGGTTACTAATAAGCAGAGGTGGTAAAGCAGCAGCATGGTGACTCCTGCCTGTGGCCTCACCTATTAATAAGGATGGACTTTGGCTTATGAAGTGGTGGTGCATGCATCATATCTTCTAACTTTGAAGGATATCTCATGTCGAAGGAACTGAGTTATGATATCATAGAGGATTCATCTGGAACACCTGGAGGTGCTGTCCGAGAGCAGTGAAATGTCTACTGAGATATGATGACCTTGGCCACTAGTTTTGCCCTTAGAAGCCTGTTGCTGGCCTTCTACATGCCTTTTGTCATGACTTTCCCTAAAACACTGGCCATCCCTGAGAAGCTGAAAGAAGCTGTGGGGAAAGTCATTGTCAACGCCACCACCTGTACTGTCACCTGTGGCCTTGGCTACAAGGAGGAGACCGTCTGTGAGGTGGGCCCTGATGGAGTGAGAAGGAAGTGTACATCTCAGCGGTTGGAATGTCTGACCAACTGGATCTGTGGGATGCTCCATTTCACCGTCCTCAAAGGCAAGGAATTCGAGCTGAGCTGTCTGAGTTCAGACATCTTGGAGATCGGGCAGGAAGCGTTCCGGTTCACCTGGAGACTTGCTCGGGGTATTATCTCCACGGATGATGAAGTCTTCAAGCCCTTCCGAGCCAGTTCCCACTTTGTGAGGTTCAGATATATTCAGGAGGTGGACTCGGGGACCTACCGGTGTGATGTGCAGCTATTAGAAAACTTGAGACTTGTCAAGAGGCTTTATTTTGGGGTGAGGGTCCTTCTTCCTAAGTTGGTGAAGCTGAATTTTCAGCAGTCCCTCACTGAGGATCAGAAGTTAGTAGATGAGGGCCTGGCAGTGAATCTGGGTAACTATTCCAGGCCTTACCGTCCACCGTGGAGAAAGAAGGTGGCGATAGCCTTGGGCATAGGAATTACTAGTGGAGTGATGAGCACTGTGATGTTGGGCATTGCCTTGTATAGCGGGTGGCGGACGACAAATGGCAATGCCAGCCTTTAGACCTAACAGGCCTTGCTCCTGAAGGACTGGCTGCCCAGGAAGCGGGACTTGACTGCTCAGGAAATCAAGCTAGATTTTCAGGGGAGCATCTGGCTGCCTGATTGTGGACCAGCTAGGAGGGAGGGTTTCCAGAGCCAAAAGAGTGAGTGGGGGTGTGGAGAAGGGACAGCATCTTGGTAGCAATGGGCAGTATCTCAACTGTGTCCCAGATGGACCTCTTTGAACTTCCCTGCCCACTAGGTACCCAGATAACCTTACTGCACTCATCTCTTCTGCTGGGAAGAGTTCTGTCTTCCAAATTTGCATTTATTTTTCTACCCTTTACATCTGGTATACCTTACCTCCACTTTCTCCCTTTGAGCAGCATAATCACATAGAAGGGTACATTAATAATAGCTTTTCTAGTGAAAACACTTTTTTCCTCAATAAAAATAATCGACAGTAGCTGTATGGCGATAATCTTTCCTACTCTTGAGTTAAAAATTTCTTGCACTTGTTTTAATTGTCCCATAATTGGTTAGTCTTTTGTTTTCCATCAATTTCTTAGAATAGATATTGAACAAATTGCTTTGTGAACCAGATCCAAGGTCAACAATGACATCTGACTCGGTATAGAATAGACCCTCACTAAATGTTAATGATTTATCAGCCCCTCTCCTTCCTCCCAGGTGAACCCTCTTATTCAGTGCAACATTGATTCCTGGCAACACACTGGAGTTTTCATCTGATAGGTTTCCCCTGAAAAGTGCCTTGGCTTGCTCCCTGCTTCCCTCCTAGCTCTCTCTGCGCCCTGAAGCATGTGTTCCTGGAAAGGTCAAGCGTATTTGGTTTCTTACAGCAGCCATGGCCCCTTAAGGGGAGATTAGTGCCTTCCACCACGGGAAATCCAATCTAAGACCCTCAGAGGCCATTCCGACTGTCAGAGATAATTGGCTTGTAGAACCATCAGGGAAAAGGCTCTTCTTGGCTGTAGCCTAGCTAATTCTAAGAAACTGATAGCATTTCTTCCCCTCACTTTTCTCCGGCTACAGGGGATGTAGTAGAAACGAAGACTTGGACCAGTAGTTCTCTTCTCTAGCCAAGTCTGAACCACCTGGATGAGCTTTTGAAATATAAGATTCCTGAGCCCTGAGGATGCTAATTCAGTTCAGTGATGGCCAATGGGTCTCTATGATTTCCTCTGCTTTTAATTAAAAAAACAACAACAACACGTCAAACCCATAGAGAAGTTGAAAGAAAGGTTTGGTGACACCCATAGACTCTTTACCTAAATTCATCAACTTTGAACATTTTGCTGCAATTATCTTCCTAATTACTGATTTTCCTGAACCACTTGAAAGCTAGTCACAGCCTTTAGTCCTAAATTATGTATGCACCTCATAATAAGGGCATTCCCTGGTATCACTGCAATATCTTCATCGCATCTTAAGAAAATGAACTGTTCCCTAATCTCACATGTCATTTGTGTCTTTTAATTTTCCTAAAATCTTAGAGCTTTTTAATTTAATTTTTGATCCAGGATCAAGTGGAAGTTAACCTATTACATTTGGTTGTTTCTCTTACGCCTTATTTTACAACAGGTCGGCTTATTTCTGTTGTTTTTCATGACATTGATTTGAAGAGTCTAGCTAGGTCCGTTCTTGAACAGCGTCCCACGATCTAGATTCATCATTGTTTCCTGATGATTAGATTCTGAGGAATGAACCTTCCACATTTTGACAAGAGCCTGTGTAGATGATGACGTGTACTTACTGCATCACCTCAGTAGGCGCATGACGCCAGTTTGAACTGTTGTTGACAGGCCTCTCTAAAGATATATAAGGAAGTTAATCCTTATAATTATTTATATTACAACTGTATTAGTAAACCTACTTTTGCCCACTCCAGTATGTTTTTCTCCTTTTGTAATTAATCTGTGGGATGATACTTCGTGATTATCTGATTTTCTTAAAAAATCTCCCCAAACATTTTGGAATCCATTCATGATCCTTACCTTATTATGGCATGTCGGGGTTGCAAACTGTTGGTTCTTCACATTTATCATGTCTATGGTTATAAGCCTGCAGTTTTCTGTAAAGAATTGCTGCTCTTTTGACTATTTTTGAGGTCTCAATGGATTCTCTTTTGAGTCAGTGAATTGTATATAATCCATTACTGTTGTCATGTTTTTGATATTCAAATTGTCCCCAGTTTTGGCTAGGAGGAGTCCCTTCAAGCCAGCTCTTTTGTCCTTTAGATGTGATTCCATTTGGCTTTGAGCATGTCCTTGCTTCCTAGTACTAGATGTCTCAGGTCCACATTCGGACTTTCTCCAATCCGGAATCTGCTGTTTCTCCAGGAGCTCTGCCTCCTGTGAGTGTGCGGCAGAAACCAAGGGCTGGGCACTGAATGTGCTTGTTGCACTGTGGAGTCACTGCTTTGGGGTCCTTTCAGTGTCCTAGGTTCGTAGAAATCATAAGTTCAAAGCATGTTTGTTTTGTAGGAGTGGTGTAGGCCAGTGGTTGGCAAACCTTGGCTCTTTGGCCCCTTGAGTTTTTAGCAAAGGCCAGCTTAGGAGTACCCAAATTAAGTTAATAACAATGTACCTACCTATATATTTAAGTTTAAAAAATTTGGCTCTCAAAAGAAATCTCAATTGTTGTGCTGTTGATATTCGGCTCTGTTGACTAGTGAGTTTGCCGACCTCTGATATAGGTAATTCTGCTTCATAGTGAAGATTGAGGACCACTGGCCTAGGCCGTGCACAGGGAGTCTTTACTATTGCTCTTATTTTGAGAAGACCTTACATTTCACACACACACACACACACACACACACACACACACACACACAGAACACCCCCCGCACCCTTCTCTCTACCTCAGAGGGGATGGTTTCAGAAGACCTGGGTTCTGCTTCTGTTTTTACTCGTAACTGTACAATGGAGTAGGCTCTGACCCTCTGAGGTCCTCATCTTTGAAACACATGATTGTAAGGATCAAATGAGGTCCTATGAGTGAAACTGCCTGTAGACTGAAGGACTGGCTATGAGTGGGACAGAGTTATTTCTGATGCCTGTTAGTTCCGTACCAAACAGTTGGCCGAAGCAGTCAGGAGAGAGCTTGCTATACTTTCGAAGGCCATAAAAACAACATCTCTGTAGGTAACTCAAGATGACATTGCTGAGGGAGGGAGGAGGATGGGGGTTCGGTTCCACATTTTACAGATGGAGAGAGATCGAGACCCAAGTCCCTTCTGTCACTTTTGCAGCACGTCAGTGGCCAAGCCTGGAAGGAATATTGTGCAGATCTGAGGGTTTATAGCCCTCTGTGCATTGCACTCCTGAATTTTGACTCTTGAGAGTGTGAAGAGATTGAACAGGGACGAAAACAAAAGGCCCTAAGATGTGTTAGTGAACTCAGTTCACTGAATTCTGTGATTGTAATCAGCCTCGAGGGCCAGGGAGATGCTGAGTGGACTAAAATTTGGGGTCAACGGTGGCCAATGGCCCAGCAGCCCTTTTGGGTGCAAAGTGAAAGGGGTGAGCCTGTTGAGGTATCATTGCCATCCGTGCTGGCCCCTCAGGGTACGTAGGCAAGTTCCTGTCCAAGAGGCTGTTCTATTTCTCAGGCTGAGTAGCGAGTAGAGGGGCCTTCGCCTCCCCATTCTCTGAAAAAGAGAGGAGACCTACCTGCTTTGCAGGGAACAAATGTAACACAGGTGTGGTGGTGTCTGCTGACTGCCTAGGAGATGTTGCAGCTGGGAGCCATGACTGGGAACTCCAGTTCTACTGGGTGCTGTTGAGCGGACACTGGAGGCACCTTTTCTCCAGGTGGGGGTCACTACGTCACTGCAGGGAGAAGCCTGCCCTTGGGGACAGTTGAGTCAATACCTCCAATGTCTTAAAAACCGGGCACCTTGAAAGACAAGCCCTGCTGACCGCCCATCGTGCTGTCTGGCCGTGTGCTGCTTGGGCTTCCCCAAACCTCCTGGCGGATTCCTCCCACAGGACTGTATGGCTGTCGTTGTGACTGCCTTGAGTTGCCTGGGGCCAGGGGAGGTAGGGCCAGGAGCCCACCCGGGGTTAGGGAACAGGGGGAGGAGGTGCTGGAGCTGATGATAAAACACCCACAGCTGGCTCCGGCTGCCTCCACAGGTGGAGAAACCGTCTTTATTTCAGAACTGCCTGCTACCAGAGTCAATAACTATCATTACAAGAAGTACAAAAGAGAGACAGAGAGAGAGAGAGACAGAGAGAGAGAGAGAGAGACAACGGGCCAGTGGGAGTGGTTCTGTCTGAACAAACACCGAGCCAGGTCCGTGGTCCGAAGAAGCCCCAGGCCTTGCGGGCCCGGAGCCTTTCTAAGCTTCGCAAGCCCTGGAGAGGTGGGTAAGTTGGAGTGCGGGGACCAAGGCAGGGCCCAGCCCACAAGGGCATGAGGCTTCCCGGCTCTAGGCAAAGCTGCTTGTCCTTCTTCCCCTTCTCCAGTTCCCTTCTACTGTACCTTCCCCAAACTATGACCATATACATAGACAGCCACCAGGCACCGCTTTCCCTGGGGCCCATTGACGTCCCTTTAGAATGCCTTGCCAGTCCCCCACCCCCCTCCAGGAGCCTCTGGCCACCTCACTCATCCCCAGGACAGAGCCCAGGGGAGGCCTGCCCGGGGAAATGGGCACCACTCCTGGGCCTCAGGGCAGGAGTGAGGACACTGCTGTCCCTGCGACAGGAGCCCAGGTGGCAGTCATTCTGAGGCCAGGAGGACAGTCCTCTGGCTGGGAAAGGGATGCGGGAGTAAAATCGTCAACCAGCCTGGGCTCTTGTCCAGAGCACAGCCTGGGTGGCTCTCAGATGGCCAGGAGGCAGTGCCTGCTGGGCATCGGCTGCCTGGGTGAGCCTCCGCCCTCTGTGATGTGGCAGGGGCACAGCCGATGGGCGCTCCAGGACTCCTGTGCCGGCACGTTTGGCTCTAAGGATGTGGGCCCTGGAGGGACACCCCTCAGCATCTCCCCACCCTCCAGTCCTCACTCACTGGACCCCAGCTGCCCACATTCCTCACGGCTTTCTTAGGAAGGTAGAGGCTTCTTGCTATTCAGGCTCTCCCTGCAGACGCTTCCGTCTCACTTCAGGCTCTTCGTCAAAAGAAAAAGCCCCCCGGCCTGGCCCTTCTGTTTCTTGGCAGCATCTGGATCATTGGGTGGCAGTAGACAACTGACCTTGCTGGGCCCCAAGACCCCATCCCCAGAGAGCTGCCCTCCCTGGGCCTGCCAGAGCCACGAGGCCAGGTAGCCAAGGTCACGGTGAGGAGCCCCGAGCCCAAGGACACAGCAGAGAGACTCGCCTGGGCCCTGAAGTGGTGTCCGCGGGCTGTCTCTGTCCCCAGTTTTCAAGGCACTTACTGGCCACTGAACTGTGGGGGACAGTACTTGCTGCTCGGGCCTGGGAGGGGAGAGGGAGACCCAGAATGGAGCAGCAGAGGAGATGAAAATCGGAGGCCTCTGGGCAGGAAGACTGAAAAACCATCTCACTCTGCCCCCAGCGAGCTCCTGTCCAGGAGGCTGTTCTATTGCCCAAACCTGCGTGTCATCACGAAACCTGAGCTCTACCTGAAGTCTCCAGCTGCCAGGACGTGGTGTCAGGGTAGTCCCGCATCCCTGGGACAGGTCCTCCCCGCACAGGGGTTCGCTCTCCCTAGGACTGGGTTTCCCCAGTGAGAACCCCTCCCCAGCTCCCAGAGGCCGGACTTCCTCCTAATGGGCCTCCTCAGAGCTAAGACACTGGTGGTGTCTGTTGACTCAGGACTGCATGCAGCCTCCAGCTGCGCTGGTTAGACACCGTGCCATACTCTTCCTCCCTCTGGGCCCAGCACAGGCGCCTGTCCCCTGCTCCCCTGGCCGTGAGGACAGACTCAGCTAGACCTTGGAAGGCTGCCTCCTTCGAGCATCCCCTTTCTGACAGAGCAAGGCATGGCGGAACCACCGCCCCCGAGGTCAGCCCGGAGGTGAGGCCAAGTTCGTGGTCCCTGAGGGGTCACAGAGCTGAGCCCAGCACCTGGCAGGTGAGGGGGGGGGGGGGGCGGGAGCAGGTGAGGGGATGTGATCTGGTGTCTCCAGGGAGGCAGTCCTGAGCTGGGGTGGGTGGTGGGGAGAAGAGGTGTGAGTTTGCATTTTTGAAAACAAACAAAAAACAACAACAACAACAAAAAAAAACGGTAGTGGGTAAACACATCAACATAAGCCTGCTCAGGAAAACAGAGCAGGACCTGAATGTTTAAAAAACCATAGCAAAATAGGGCTCTGACTGTAAACGGCAAACACCAGGCGTGGGGGCCCGTCCCCTACACGATGCCGGTCCTGCTGCTCGGGGATGTCAGCGGCCACCAGTCAGCACAGGTTGGGCCGCCGCTGGCCCCCGGGCTCCGGGAGTCCCTGCCCCAGCCTCGGCCTCTGGGAACAAGGGTCAGGGGCCCGGGGGCTTCAAGCCAGCACTGCAGAGTGAGGTCTGACAGAAGCGAGGCTCCGGAGGCAAAGGCCTGGTGTCTCCCAGGACCTGCCCACACCTTGGGTTGGGCCCAGCCCGGCTGCTCGATCACCCACCAGATTCTCTAGAAGCAGAATTTTCCACGCCCTCCTTAAGAAGGGGCTGGAGTTCTCATCTGGGCCCCGTGGTCGCGGGCACGCTGTGTGACCCTGACCCTTTCGATCTCAGTGCCTTCACCTGTGAAGGGAGGGGCTCGGACAGGTGAGCTCTAAAGCCTGGATGTTCTGGCAATATACCCAGAGCCCAAGGCCGGAGGTCCCATTTATTAACCCCCTTGCTTCTGGAGAAATGCAAAAGGGCAGCCTGAGGCAACCCGGGGCACTGGTCTTGCCAGGTGCCCGGGTTTTCCCGGGAGCAGGCAGGGGAACGTCTACCCTCCGCCGTCCTCAGGGCTCTGCCCTCTACTCTCCCAGGGGAGGGGGTCGGTGCCGGGGGAGTGGAGTCCTGGGCCTGCAGGCCGCGCTGGAGGGGAGGGTGGGCACTCACCCCTGTCTCCCGTCTCCTGCCCAACCCTGGAGGGACTGCGCAGAGTGGGTCTCGGTGGGTGGGTGGGGGACCGCCCTAAGACAAGCCCTTTCATCACCCCGCCACCTGGAATGGCGGCCGTCACTCTGGGTGACAGGTCGGGTTGGCAGTGTTGGCTAAGTCTGGTGCCCCTCCCCACCAGGTGTCCCGCCCCTCAGTCCCTGTTGGCTCCCCTCCCCCCCAGTCCGAGTCTCTGCATGCTTGTGTCTGGAAGGCTGCAGGGGCTCGGCCCTCAGGGCCCCCGTGCTCAGCCACCTGGTCAGGTGGCAGGAACCTCCAGGGCGTCATCGAGGGCAATGCCAGGGCCCAGCCATGCCACCCCTCGAGGAAGTAGGAGGGTGCTTGGTCCCCGGGGGGGGGGCTCTCTCCTTGGACTGAGGGGTGCTCATGGGTAGGCCTTGCTCCACTTCAGCGGGGTCACCCCCAGCACTCCTGCCGAGTCTGGGGTGCTGCCCTCAGGGGACAGAGCCCGTCTGCGGTCCCAGGACGCCATCTCCACAGATATGAAGGGAATGTTTCAGGTGCCCTTCTCCCCACAGGCCCGACACCCCAGAGGGCCCGGCACGGGTTCCGTATCATCTTGGAAATGACTGCCTGGTGCTTCTTGATTTAAAAAATAAATAAAATAAAAAAATCCTCGCACGGGTTCTAGCCTGTGGCAGAATGTGAAGTATCCTGCCTCCTACAGAAAGGGCGCTGTCTACAGTAGGTGTTGAAACCAGCCAGTCTCAGGCACAGTGTTGGGCCATGTTGGCATCGGGAGTGGCCGGGCCAGCTGGCTGCATCCTCGGAGGTGGTGTCCGGCGGCGGCGGAGGGAGGGGCGCCGAGGTCAGAGCTCCAGGTGGCCGATGAGGACCAGCATGGCCACCGAGTGGGAGAGGACGGTGCCGGGGCGCGGGGCCGGGCGGACTGCGGAGTTCTCCACCATCATGCTTGTGTCTGGAAGCGGCAGGCAGAAAGGTGGGGCAGGGTTCGCCAGGTACACGCCCCTCTCCCTACCCTCCCCCCCATCCCCCACCTCCACCCCACTCCTTTCTACGGAGACGCGAGGAGGGCAGGCCTCAGGACCGACAGGTGTTTCAGCCCCACTCCTACAGCGCTTTGCAGGGCCCCGGCCTCCCCCTGGCCCCCGAGGAGAGCACACTCACCCCCTCCCCCGCCCCCCAGCTCTCAGAGGGCTGAGGGTCGGGGAGGGGGGGCAGGCAAGGGCCCTTCCAGGACTACTTTGCCCTTGGCTTCTGCCTGCCGTCCCCTTCCCCCTTGGGGCCTGGCTGCACTGGGGTCGCCTTGGGCAGGACCCTGAGACTCCTGGGGGACGGGGCGGGGGAGGCAGCACCTCCGTTCCGCACGATGTGGACTTCGGCCGGGGTCCCGTCCCCTCCGGGCCCCGTGGTCCGGATCTGCACCCGGGCGTAGCCGGTGTCCTCGGGCACGGCCACTTCGATCCAGTTCGTGCTGGTGAGGTGCAGCGTGGGAGTCGGGTGCAGGTCGTTCTGGTACAGCATCTGTGGGCGGGTTAGGCAGGCGGCCTCACTTACACCAGGGCCGGTTCCTCCCTCTTCCTCGGCCCCAGGCACTGGGCCCCAGAGGGCCTGCGTCCTCACCCCTCCTGCTTCCTGTTGGCCAGGACCAGGCTCTTGGGCAAGCGCTCCATTGGCGGAGAAAAGCTTGCAACCAGCCGCACTGTTTTTGCAGACCCCTTAAGCTAGAACCGTGGTGGGCAAACTGTGGCTCGCCAGCCACATGGGGCTCTTTGGCCCCTTGAGCGTGACTCTTCCACAAAATACCACGGCCTGGGTGAGTCTATTTGGAAGAAGTGGCGTTAGGAGAAGTTTAAGTTTAAAAAATGAGGCTCTCCAAAGAAATCTCAATCGTTGTACTGTCGATATTTGGCTCTGTTGACTAATGAGTTTGCCGACCACTGGGCTAGAAGGATCTCAGGTTGCCCCGTCCCGTCTCTCACAACTCCCCTGAACCCTGCCTTCCTGCAGCCCCCTTTCTTTCTTTTTTAAAATATATTTTTATTGATATTTTACAGAGAGGAAGAGAGAGAGGGATAGAGAGTTAGAAACATCGATGAGAGAGAAATATCGATCAGCTGCCTCTTGTACACCCCCTACTGGGGATGTGCCCACAACCAAGACGGGAATCGAACCTGGGACCCCTCAGTCCGCAGGCCGGTGCTCTATCCACTGAGCCAACCCTGTTTCGGCCCCCCTTTCTTACAGTGGCCACTACAAGTGACCTGGAAACCCATTTGTGTGTCTCCTGCTTACATCTAACTGGGTTCCTTCTGCTACAAAGTGTGGCCCTCCCGTGCTCCCGCGAATGCAGACGAGCCGTTCCCCACCACCCAGCGCCTGGCCGTCCGGTCCCTTCCTACCTTATAGCCGGTGACGGCAGACTCATTGCGCAGAGGGACCACAGGGTCCCACTTAATGCTCAGGCTGGAGCTCGAGAACGTCCAGGAGATGTTGCCGGGGGGTTGCCGTGGGGCTGCGGAGGAGGGAGGAGCGAGCTGACCTGTGAATGCGTCCTCACCACCCACCCCTCGCCGCTGCCAGCCTGTTTCCGAGTGTCTGCCTGGCCGGGGCACCCAGAACAGCCCGCCGCAGCCGCCTACGAAGCACGCCCCGTGAGAACCCGCCGGCGGGAGGGGAGAGGCAGTGAACTCCCCGGCCCGTCTCCACGAGGCTGCTGCCTCGTTTCCGTCCAGCCAGGCTTGTGGGCTAGAGCCGTGGTCGGCAAACTGCGGCTTGCGAGCCACATGCGGCTCTTTGACCCCTTAAGTGTGGCTCTTCCACAAAATGCCACGGCCTGGGTGAGTCTATTTGGAAGAAGTGGCGTTAGAAGAAGTTGAAGTTTAAAAAAATGAGGCTCTCCAAAGAAATTTCAATCGTTGTCCTGTTGGTATTTGGCTCTGTTGGCTAGTGAGTTTGCCGACCACTGGGCTAGAGCACTTCTCTTGCACGGGGGAAAGAGTGATCCTAGAGACGCCCCCTCCCCCCAAACACACCGGTCCCCCATCCCGGGCGGCAGACTCACGGGGCTTCATGGTGGTGGCATTGGCAGAGGGGCTGGCAGGCCCAGTGCCCGCCCGGTTGTAGGCCCGCACGGTCACATGGTACTTGGTGTTGGGGTGCAGGTCAGTGACTCGGGCGCTGGTGTCCAGCCCTGCCGTCCTCACACGGTCTGCAGCCGCTTCTTTGTCCCCGGCTTTCCAGTAGCGGATCTGAGGGGCCGGGACACCCTAGGGTCAGCAGCCAAGCTCAGGCCTGCAGGGCTCCCTTCATGCCGCCCTGCCCGCCACACCCTGCTCCTCTCCTGCTCCCTGGGTGGGGAGTCACTCCTCCGTGGGGCCTGCCCAGCCTGTTGTGCTGACACCCAGCGGACGGCTGGAGTGGCCTTAACCACATCACCAGTGACCGTGCAGATGGCTTCCTCAGGCAGTGACAGCCTTGCTTATTCGTCCTTCCTCTGGGCTTCCTCGCTCCCTCTCCCGCACAGGCACCCTAGGGTGGACTCATGGGTGGGCCCAGGGCTATGGGCGGTCAGACACTGCTGGGCCCAGAGTTCCTTAGGGACAGGATGATCAACTGGCACATAGAGGGGGCCACGTGGTCCCTGCAGCCCTGAGGATGCCACGCTAGCTGGGCTCTGGCGTGAAAGGGGCAGGCCCCCGAGGAGAACCTGCCCCTCCTCTCCTAGGGCCCCCCCCCCCCCCTCCTAAGCCTACCATAGCTCTAGTGCAGGTGCTGGCCTAGCATTACCTCAAGACTGTCTACAGACCCGTGGGCACCAGTCATCAGGCCTCAGCTAGGTTGCATTCACAGTGCTGCACAGACTTGGAGCTGTTTGCCAGGTCAGTGGGTGAGTGCTCCAAAGAGGAATGACTAGTGCTCCCACCCAATCTGTTTTTTTTGTTTTTTGTTTTTTGTTTTAATTTTTATTAATTTCGGAGACGAAGGGAGAGGGAGGGAGAGAGAGAACCAACGATCGGCCTCCCATCAGGGGCCCCACACGGGGAGACCAACCTCGCAACCCAGGCATGTGCCCCGACCTGGAATCAAACTGTGACCCCCTGGTTCACAGGTGGACGCTCAACCACTGAGCCCCGCCGGCTGGGTGCCCTCACCCAACCTCCCTCTCCCAGGCCCAGGTCGTGCTCACCTCGTAGCCCAGGAGGACCCCGTTCATGTCCGGCGGCACCGCTTCCCAGGTCACATTCATCTCTGAGGCTGAGACCCCCTTGGCCCAGACCTTGGATGGGGCCACCTTGGGCTCTGGGGACCAACACAGAATGGGTTTGGATTCCCAGGGCCTCCTCGCGTCCGACAGAGCAGCCACCAACCCCGACGGCCCTTGCTGAGAACTTTAGGGCCCAGGGTCCAGGACCAAGGCCACGGGGGTCTCCAAGGGTCTCCCTCTCCTCCCCAGGCCTGAGGGGAGACCCGGTGGCAAGGGCTAGAACCCCAGGCCTGTCTTCCCGTGGGCACCCGTGTCCTCTCCACCCCGCTGTGGGACTGAGGGGGGAGCAGCAGCTGCGATGGGGCAGATGGGGCAGGGGAGGGGAGCCCCGGGCCGCCCACCTTCCTCCGCCGAGTACACGAGGGCAGTGAGGCTCTCGGGCCCGTCCCCTCGGCGGTTGTAGCTGCGGATCTTGACCTCGAAGGGCGTGTAGGGCCGGATGCTCTCGTTGCTGTAGACGAAGTACTGGGCGTCGGCGCCGGGCACCCGGGCGCTCTGCCAGCTGGCGCTGCCCTGCCTGCGGAAGGACAGCAGGTAGCCGAAGCCGTCTCCGTTCTGGTACTCCCGTGACATGGGCTGAGGGGCAAGAGCGTGGCATGGGCGAGGGGCCGCGGGTGCGTGTCCTGCCCATCCGGTGCCCCCACCCAACCTCCACCAGGAGGGCGGCCCGGGACTGCGCCGAGGCGACGTGCATCCTGTGCGGGCACTCCTGCGGGACGCCGCGGGCGCAGGGGAGGGGGAGGGCGGCAGCTGCGGGGCTGGGCATGGCTCTGTGAGGAGCGGGGGCAGGACGTGTCCCCCCAGAGAACGGGGAGCACATGTTTGCCTGTCGGAGCGCTTACCGTCCAGCTGACAATGAGCTCGCCGGGGGCTCCGCCACCTCCGCTGAGCCCCGAGGGTGCCACGAAGGGGGCTGTCGGGACCGAGGGACACAGATGTGAATGGGTGGTTAGTGGGCAGTGCGGGAGCCAGAGGCCTCTCTAACGCTGTGCTGTCAGCCGGCCCAGACTATCCGTCTCATCCTGCCGCTGCCACGGCCAAGCCCACGTTGGGTTCCTTCGTAAACTCTGTCCACGGCCAGGCAGTGTCCTGCGTCTCTCTCGGGCTTTTCCCTGCCCGAGTGGCTTTCCAATCCTGGGCCGCTGCCAGGGCTGGGGGGCTGACGGGCTCTTGCGCTGGCCTTCGCCTGGGACAGGCTCAGAGCAGGCAGGCGCCTCCCTCTTGATAGGTGCTGACCAGGCCATCTCCCTTCCGACCCCACTCAGGTCGGACACCGCCTTTCGGGAGGGCTGTGGGCAGACAGCCATTCCCCCTGCTCCCAAAGGAACCATCGGAGGCCTGGGAGACACTGGCTGCTTCCCGAGGCCATGCACCGCACACACACACACACACACACACACACACACACTCAGAGTCATACACTCAAACACTCACACATGCTCACACACACACACACACACATACACTCAGTCATACACTCAAACACTCACACATGCTCACACACACACACACACACACACATACACTCAGAGTCATACACTCAAACACTCACACATGCTCACACACACACACACACACACACACACACACTCAGTCATACACTCAAACACTCACACATGCTCACACACACACACACACACTCAGTCATACACTCAAACACTCACACATGCTCACACACACACACACACACACATACACTCAGTCATACACTCAAACACTCACACATGCTCACACACACACACACACACACACACACTCAGTCATACACTCAAACACTCACACATGCTCACACATGTTCACACACACTCACACACAGTCATATACTCACATTCACACACACTCCCATGCTCACACTGTCTCACACACACTTCCTCATAGCTGATTTCTGCAGTTCGTGCACTCCCAGGGAGGTCATCTGCCCACCACCCCAGCGTCCTGGGTTCAAGTCCAGAGTATGACCCTTTCCTTCTCCAAACTTTTTCCTCAGTAAAAACCCTTTTTGTTTTGAGATATCATAGATTCAATGGCGCTGTCAGGTTGCCCCATGTTTTAAGGAGGCCTTGGCCAGGCCGTGGTCAGTGCCCGGGGCTGTGTGCAGGGCAGTGACCGGCTTTGGCCTAGCATTGCCTCCTGTTGCGTTAGAGTCTGAAGCCTGGTCAGCGGGGCTGGGACTCTGCGAACTGTTCTTGGCTGGGGCTCCCTGGAGGAGGTGATGTCTGTGCCTGAAGCCATTTCACTTTGGGACACCCAGGGCTGACCTGCTTCCTTGGTCCGGATCTTGCTGGAGGGCCCACTGGGCTCCCCAGTGCCCAGGATGTTGCTGGCGATGACCCGGAACTCATAGTCCATCCAGGGCGTGAGGCCCAGCACCTGGGCAGTCTCCGCGTTGCCCTCGATGTTGGCGGGATCTGTAAGGCATGAAGGAGGCGGTGGTCTGAACGGGGTGGGCAGGGCCTGAGCCTGGCCCACCTTCTGTGCCCAGCCCTCAGGTGGGGCCTGACACATGCAAAGCACTCAATACCCCTTTCAGAAACGAGTCCTCCCCGCCCTGGAGCCTCTGCTGGCATCGTGGGCACCATGTGGGCACTGCCCAGTAACATTCCCGCCAGCTCAGGGTGTACACAGAGTGCCTCCTCCTTCAACTCTCCCCACGCTCCTCTGACCTGGGCCACCATCTCCCCGCTGGCCTGGGAGCTCTCTGCAGGCAGATGGCCTTCGCTTCTCCCTCTTTGAAGCTCCAGGCTCAGCCCCAGCCCTCTGCCCCCTCCCCCACTGCTGGCACCCAGCCTGGCCTTGTCCACTCTGGCAGCACAGGGCACTTACTGGTCCGAACTTGCTTCCACTTCCCCGCAGGCGGAGTGCGAGCTTGCAGGGTGTACTTGGCAATGGGGCTGTGGTTGTCAAAGCCTCGGCTCCAGCTGAGCTGGACAGTGGTGTCGCCGATGTCCCTTACCACCATGCCTCCCGGGGGGCCCGGGGGACCTGCGCCAGACAGAGGTCAGAGCATTGTGGGTCAGCATTGGGCAGCTTCCAATGGAAGCCAACCTCCCCCAGGCTGGTTTGGGCTGGTGAAGTGCCACGTGGAGGCAGCAGAGGGCGCCACACACACACACACACACACACACACACACACACACACACACACACATTCTGGTGGGAGAGGGAGGAATGGGGTTTGCATAGTGGGTGGGATGTGCCCAAGGCTGGGAGCGTCCCAGAGACCCTCACAGAGGGATGTTCACTCACTTCCCAGCAGAGAACTTCTGGCCTCAGCAAAGTTCACTCTCGGGATGTGTTTAGCAATGCTTTCTAAGATATTGGTTTTGGAGGAAGAATATTCTATTCCTCTAGGACAGTGGTCAGCAAACTGCGGCTCCCGAGCCACATGTGGCTCTTCGGCCCCTTGAGTTTTTAGCGAAGGCCAGCTTAGGAGTACCCTAATTAAGTTAATAACAATGTACCTACCTCAATAGTTTAAGTTTAAAAAATGTGGCTCTTGCCGAAACTGGTTTGGCTCAGTGGATAGAGTGTCAGCCTTTGGACTGAAGGGTCCCAGGTTCGATTCCGGTCAAGGGTATGTACATTGGTTGCAGACACATCCCCAGTAAGGGGTGTGCAGGAGGCAGCTGATCGGTGTTTCTCTCTCATTGATGTCTCTAACTCTCTATCCCTCTCCCTTCCTCTCTGTAAAAAGTCAATAAAACATATATATTTTTTTTTTAAAAAAGTGGCTCTCAAAAGAAATGTCAATCGTTGTGCTGTTGATATTTGGCTCTGTTGACTAATGAGTTTGCCGACCACTGAACTGGGATCTATAAGGAACCGCCAGATAAGTTCAGCTCAGCGAACTTCTGTCAGAAACATTCCCCACAGCCTGAGGAGAGGCGGGGAGTGAGGGAGGGAAGGTCAGAGCAGCCCATCTGGCCTCTGAGGAAGTTGGGGTGGGGTGGAGGTGGGGCAATGGGACACCCGTCACCTCGGACCAGGACGGTGGCCTCCTTGGATGCACTGTCCACCACCGTCTGGGCCGAGCAGGTGTACTTCCCGCCATGGCGCAGCTGGGCATTCAGGATGGTCAGGTCTCCGACTGTCTCCTTCTGCACCCGGGGGACAGGGAGAGGGCCGGTCAGGGGGCACAGCTCTGCGCGCCCCCCCCCCCTCCCCGCATCTCGGTCCCAGCTGTTCAGTGGGAGGGATCCCCTCCTCCCCACTGAGCCCCACTGGGGACCAAACACAGTGTGTGACACAAGACAGTCTACCAGCGCCCAAGGGACTGATGCCATGGGCGCTGGCGGCAGGATCACCACAGCGGGAGAGAGGGGCCCAGTGCCTTCGGGGGCTGTCCCTCATCTCTCCTAAGCCCACGGGCCCCGGAGAACCCAGAAACTGCTATCCCAGGGAGGATGGGTATGATCTGAGGATGAGCCTGCCCCGGCTGGCATTCCCGAGGGAGTGAGGAAAGGCTGTGGGCGGTCAAGGCCATCTTGGGCCCCTCATCTGCCCCACAGGAGGGCGCGGCTCTGGGTTCTCGGCCTCGGGCCTCACCACGCTGGCCCTCCGGTAGTGACCCCCGGGCTTGTCAGGGTTGATGGGGAAGTCGTCCAGGGCCCAGACGAAGGTGAGGTCCATGGTGGGGTCGTGGGAGGCGTGGCACTGCAAGGTCAGGTTGTCGCCCAGGTTGATGTCGGCACTGGAGGGGGCGAGCGTGATCTTGGTCGCATCTGCCGAGAGACACAAGGCCTCCGGGTGGGTGAGGGGAGAGGTTTGTCCCGAGCCCCAGGAACCAGAAGGGGCGCCGTGGCCAGCCTACCCGGACCTCCCAGCAGCCCCAGGAGTGTGTGGACGGGAGGCGGGACTACATTCGGATGGAGGCGAGAGGGTGGCCCCGAATGAACCCGGGTCCCAGATAGTCTCACAACCAAGCTGGGAGGAGCGTGGGACTCCGGGGCGCGGTGGCGAGGGGGGGATGGGCCCCGTGGCTGAGTCCTCCGGCCTCGGCCACACCACGCCCTTACCTCGCACAGACAGGATGCCCGTGCTGTTGGCTTTGCCCATGAAGTTCTCAGCGAAGCACGTGTATTTGCCTTCATCTGACCGGCTGATGTTTCTTATGATCAAGGTGCCATCCGGGGTTACTGTCACTCTGCAGCCAGGACAGAGCAGATGGGGCCACCCCGGGGACACACACAAGGAGAATGCAGTGGGTGAGTGGAGGGGGGCACGGGAGAGGCTCGGGGTGGGGGGGAGGGGGGGCGGTACCTGCTGCTGTTGACCAGGATCTCGGTGCCTTTGCTCCAGAGCACCATGGCCTTCGGGGCTGCCCGGGGCTGGCAGGGGATCGTGACCTCCCCGCCCCGGGCGGCAGGGATCAGGCGCCTCACGGGGTTCAGCCTGAAGTCGGGGGCCAGTGCTGGAAGGATCGGGGAGCACCCCACAGTCACCCAGGGCGTTGTGACCGGGCCCGTGACTAAGACGTCGCCTGGCCAGGTGCTAAGCGCCATGGACCTTCATGGTCAGTCCAGGAGTGACCCTTAGCACCACTTCCGGAATCCACCCGGAATCACCTCCTTCCCATCACCCACTGCCCCCGCGCTGCTACCAGCCCCCACACCTCCTGCTGGATGGTGAAAAGGCCCCCTCATCGGTCTTCCTGTTTCTGCAATTTCTTTCTGCAATTCCTTCCCGCCCAGCAGCCAGGGGTATCTTTTTAAAAACATGCATTAGGCACTCAGAATGAAGTCCAGCTTCTCACAGGGACTCAGAACTGTCTCTCTCTGCAATCCCATCTCACTCCCCTCTGCCCCTCACTCAGGGTGCTCCAGTCACCTGGGCCATTGTTGTTCTTTGAAAATGTCACCCTTTCCCTGCCCCAGGACCTTTGCACTGGAAACCCCCAGATCTTCACATGGCTGGCTCCTTCTTAACACTGGGGTCACATCCTCAAAGCCACTGCCTCGAGAGGTCTTCTTCGACCTCTCCATATCACTGCCCCCCCCCCCAGCTTTTCTTTAGTCTGTTTTTTTTTCTTAGTCTATGTGTGTGTGTGTGTGTGTGTGTGTGTGTATATATATATATATATATATATATATATATATATTCTGTATTTTTAATGGCTGCCTGGAATTATCTTATTTAATGAGTTGATTTTGTGTTTATTTGCCCTCTTTCTCCACTGGACTGTAAGATACTTGAAGGCAGAGACCTTATCTGAGGAGGCACTGAGTAAATTTTAGTAGAATAAATGAATGAATGAATGAATGAATGAATGAACGAGCCTTCCGAAGCCTCACTACAACTTGATGAGATAGGCACCACTGTGCCCATTTTACAGATGAGAAGACTCAAGTTTCAAGAGCTCAAGTCACACAATAAAAGGATATGAGCAGCCGCTAACAGTTGCTGGGCACCTGTTATGCTTTGGGCAGGCCCCTTACGCTTTACCTCTGTCATCTCATGAAATTCTCATAACAGCTGTGTGAGGGCGGGACTACCGTCCACATTCTATAAATCAGTAAAACGAGGCACAGCGCTGAAGGGTATAGGCAATCTAACTGATCTGGTTTCAAATGACTTTTGCCATCTTTTTTTTTCTTCTTCTCCTTTTTCTTTTTTTTCACCGCAACAAACATATAAATTGTGCCAGACATGGAACAAGCCACCTCATCTCCTTGCTTAAACCCCTGAGTTCGACTCAGAAGCTGTTGGAAAGCGAAGGAAAACTGCAGGTGTGTTGTGCGTTTAGAAATGCTGCTTGACAACTCCTAGTGCCCCCCCCCCCCCGCTGTGCCCCCGGGGTGTCCCCCGCCTCCCTGGGCCGTCACCTTGCACGGCCAGCTCAGCGCTGGCGTAGATGGTGCCATGCTTGTTCTCCGCCACGCACTGGTACATGCCCGAGTCCTCCAGGCTCAGCTTGGAGAACCGCAGGTCCCCGGCCAGCACCTCCACCCGCGTCTGTGCAGAAGAGCCGGGCGCAGGGTGGGGCAGGGGCGTCGGGGCCACGGGAGGCCCAGGGTGGAGGGGCCCGCTCCCTGGAGGGGGGGGCTCACATGCTTAGTCCCACCTCAGCAGCGCCTGGAATTCAGGACTTGAGTCTCTGGGCCTCTCTGTACATCAGCACCGAGGCCAGAGGGACTGAGGCCAGGGGGGCAAAGTGACCGGACCAGGACCACACAGTGTTTCTGTGGCTGAGCCGGGCCTGGACTCCATCCAGTCAGGAGTCTCCCCGGCTGACCAGCCTGTGGCCAAGTGACTCGTGGATGGGAAGAAGTATCTAGAAACACCCTTTAGCCCTGGGGCAGGGGGTTGAGGTTGGGGAGGTAGAGGTGTGGGAGGAAGCCCAAGTCCCTTACCTGGGAGGCCAGAGGCTCCCCATTCCGCAGCCAGCGCACTGTGGGCCGGGGCTTGCCGGCGGCCGCGCAGCCCCAGCGCAGGCTGGACCCGATGTCAGCCTCCATATCAGAGATCACCTTGAGCCACTCGGGCTGGGCTGTGGGGTGCAAGGGAGAGAGAGGTTGGGGTTGAGCAGGGAGGAGCCTCCAGCTCATCGAAGGGCCGGGATTGCAGCACTGCAGTTCTTGTGCCGGACAGCAGAGGGAGCTCTCAGCATCCTGGGACGTGGTGAGAAGCGGCTCCAGCAAATAGGCCCGTGCAGCCGGTGCCACTGGCTGTCTTAGGAACTTAAATCCTTCTGCCGCCTTCCACGTGCTTCCTGCAACGCCAGCGGAAGCGCCGAGCTGGCCATGGCGCTATTCTCTTCTGTCCCCACACCCAGGGCAGTCCTGGAGCCAGAGGCTTAAGCAAGCGGCCTCCCAGGCTCCTCCCTGACTCTTGGACGGACTCCGTCGGCCGGAGGAGGCCAGGGCGAAGGTGGGGAGAGGCATCCTCGTACCCTGCACGATGATGCGGCCCTGGACGCTGTCTCGGCCCTTGGAGTTCTCCGCCTCACACTCATAAGTGCCCTCGTCCTCGAAGCCCACGCTGGGGATGTGCAGGGTGGGCTCGGCCGTGGCCCACTGCGGGGACAAGGAGCCGTCCACCTTGCGCCACTTGATCCGGGGGACAGGGCTGGTGGGGAGACAGAGCCAGAGGGGGTGCATGACTCCCCTGTGTGGGCAGCTCCCCACTCACAGACCCCCAGGTCCTCCCGAGATGCCGGGCAGGTGGGGGTGGGGAGGAAGGCACTCACCCGGGCCCTGGGAAGGAACCGAGGGAGGGAAGGGCCTCTCCCAGGTGAGCTTGGGGCACAAAACTGGGGAGGGGCAAGAAGGGGGGCTCCCTCTTCCCTCCCTCCATGCCCCTGAACAGTTGTGACACCCATGAATGTGGTCTTCCGCTTGGTCTATACCGGAAGCTGACCAGCCCTCCCGCCCCCACCTGCACTGACTACCGTGTCTCTTCTGGGCCTGCCCTCACCAACTAGTGGCCTTGACCTTGACCTGCGTCTTTATGGGCCCTTTGCCCCTTTTGCCAACAGGCCTGGCCTCTGCGTCCCACAGGGCCCCGGCTGTTAGTCATCTGTGCGCTGAGATGGCCTGAGGTCGCAGTGTGTCTGTGCACAGGGCTTCTCTAGAAACCCAATCGCTCTCCCCAGAGCAGGGGCAGCCGGGGCTTCCTCAGACAGCAGGAGGGACTCATGCTGCGGATGTTTATTTATGGGACACCCGCCGTTTGTGCCGCCCGCTTCATGGAATCCTTCTCCCGGGAGAGCATGATTCCTATCGCAGTTTTTTTTTTTTTTTTAAAAAAGGCAACGAGTCAGCAGCCACAGACTCCTGACCAAACGCCAAGCTCTGCTCTGAGCACTTGACGCATATGAACGCACGGCCTCCTCATCATGACCCCACGAGGTAGCAGCGGTTACTGTCACCGCGCTCAAGTAAGGCAACGGGGCACAGAGAGGTGACGTCCTGTCCCCAAGCTCTCCCAGCCAGCAAGTGGCGGAGTTGGGATTAGGAACCGCATTCTTAATTTTATCTAACTGTAATGAACGAAACGTTGACTTTAACTGGGGTGGGCAGGCCCGATCAGGGCAAGTTAGTTCAGTCGGTTAAGGCAGGCCGGGTGTTTAGGGCTCAGAGAGTGGTCGGTGCCAACTGTGGGCCTGGCACCCCGCTAGACCCCGAGAGAGGCACCAAGAGGACCGAGTGCTGCCCCTGCCTGCCCCCTTTCTCTCTGGGGTCACCCGCCTGCCCTCCCTCCCCCGCCACTCACTTCCCAAAGGCGAAGCACTCCAGGGTGACCTGCTGGCCCAGCAGCGCGTACGTCTCTGCGGGGAAGCGGGCCTTGATGCTGGGCGCGAAGAGCCTGGGGTCTGGGGAGGGAGGGGGTGGCAGGTCGGACGCTAGAGGTCGGGGTCAGGTGCTCCCGCGCCAGGATCTCAGCCCAGCTCCTTCCTAACTCGCTCCCTCCTGGGGGACCTGGGCCGAGCGGCTGAGGTCTTGCAGCAGGAGGACCTGGTGGTCTGGGCCCCGGACCCTGTGCCCTTGAGCTGCTTCACAGCCCGGGAGGGAGAACCCCTTTCTCCGCCCTCCCCTCCCGCTCCCCCCCTCAGCTCTCTCCGCCCGCCCCCCCAGCCCGCCGACCCGGACCTTCGGCGGCCAGGTTGAGCTGCGCGAACTTGCTGAAGACGCTCTTGGTGGAGAAGTCCATGTGGCTGGTGGCCAGGCAGGAGTAGTTGCCCAGGTCGGAGGCGTTGGTGCGGGCGATGTACAGGTTCCCCGTGGTCTGGGACACGAAGTGCCGCCCATCCGTCGGGATGAAGTTGGGGAACTCGTTGAGGAGCCAGCGGTAGGACAGGCCTAGGACGCGGGGCGTGTGAGGGCACCAGGGTGGGGACTGGGCTAACGGGCGGCTCTGGGTGGGTCCCTGACATGCTGGGGGGGTGGTCCTGAGAGCCCTGTTCTCTGAGCTGGGCTGAGGGGGGATCTAAAGGGGAGATTGACCTTGATCCCTGCCCCTGGGGAGAGCAGTGCCCCTGACAGGGATCGGCTGCAGGAACCTCCGGCCGGAAGGGGACGGCAGGGCAGCTAGAAAAGGACGGGCCCGTCTAGGAGCCGTCCCTTAAGGCTGAGGGCCCAGGGGAGCTTCCGGGGTCACTCACACCTTTCACCCACCCTCCTCCGCGGAGCGGCTGGCATCCCTGAGCCCTCTGTCTAACCATGGGCCAGGGCCCCACTCACCTGGGTAGTGGGCGGGGGGGTTACAGGGCAGCATCACTCCCCAGCCCTCGTGGGTTTTCACCGGGTCCCGCTCCTCCTTGGAGAATTCCTGCAGGACTGGAGTGAGGGCCAGGCCGTGCTCAGGCACCGTCCTCCCGCCTGCCCGCAGGGCCCTCCTGCTCAGCCTCCGCGGGGGGCAGCCACCTGCCTCCTCTGGACACTTCTCCCCGCCGCCACCCCTCCCCGGAATGTCCCGGCACCCCACGGGTCTGGTCTCACAGCCGAAGCGCAGGACGGCCTCCCTGCTGACCACGGTGCCCACGGGGTTGGAGGCCAGGCACTGGTAGACGCCAGCGTCCTGGGCCTTGGTGGGGCTCATGATGACCAGGTTGCCGCCCACCAGCTGGTGGTGGGAGCCGGGCTCCAGCTTCATCTCAGTGCCGTTCATCTTCCACCTGAGGCAGGAGGAGGGCCCCTGAGTCCTGCCCGCACAGCGTCCCGAGGCCTCACCCACCGTGGGGGCTCACCATATGAGGTCTCACCACGTGGGGTCTCACCACCGTGGGTCTCACCACATAGGGTCTCACCATGTGGGGTCCCACCACGTGGGGTCCCACCACATGGGGTCCCACCACATGGGGTCCCACCACGTGGGGTCTCAATACGTGGAGTCTCACCATGTGGGGTCCCACCATGTGAAGTCTCACCACCATGTGGTCCCACCATTATGTGGTCTCACCCATCATGGGTCTCACCCATCATGGGGTCCCATCATGTGGGGTCCCACCACGTGGGGTCCCACCATTATGTGGTCCCACCAAGTGGGGCCTCACCTGTAGGTGGCCGGAGGGCTGGCCCGGGCCCGGCATGCCAGCGTCACCTTCTCCTCCGTGGACTCCTCTGGGAACAGCAGGCTGAGCGGCTGGTCTTCGAAGATGGGGCCGAAGGTGGCCGGGGACCCCCGGGCTGAGCTCCCAGCTGCGGTGGGGACACAGGCCTCAGGGATGGGGGTGCACCTGGCCCCGGGGCGGGGCCGCCAGGAGAACCCTCACGGGGGGAGGGGGGGGGGAGGCCCTCTGTTTTCTGCACCGTCCAGTCCGGCACCACTAGCCACCGTGGAGCCTCAGCATGTGGCTAGTGCCACCAAGGAATTGAATCCTTAATTTTATTTAATTGTAACTAATGAAACGTTGAATTTAAATGGGGTGGGCAGGCCCGATCAGGGCAAGTTAGTTCAGTCGCTCACCCATCCTGCACGGGTATTGAGCATCTGCTGTATGCTGGCGCTGGGCTAGAGAGTGTGTTGCAAACATGAGGAAGACACAGACCCTGTTCCCCCAGGAGCCTGCAGTCTGGAGGGCGGACAGGAAGGGCCAGCTCAGGGGACAAGAGCCACGCTAGCAGGTTAGGTCCAAGGTGCAGGGGGCCCTGGAGCGGAAGCAGGGGCCCTGCCAGGGGCGGTCAGGGATCTCTCAGGTAACTGGTCTGCAGGCTGTGAGGTCGGCCTTGCAGGATGTGTGGGAAGTCACTGGTCAAAAGGGGGAGAGGGAATCTATGTCTAAGGAACAGGTTGTCCTGAGAGAATGGACCCTGGTTCTGAGCTTCTTATCAGCTGTTCTAGAACCTTCTGAGCCCATCTCCGCCTGTGCAATGGAAAGAAGGTGCACTCCCGTCCCTGTAGGAGGCTTCAGCCTGGCATGGGCGTGTGCTCAGCAGATGTCTGCTGACCCAGGTGTGGGTGGGGGAGGGCTAGGGGAGGAGGCTTTCTGATGGCTGGATGGTGTGCATGCTGCTTTGGGGCCGTTTGCATATAATCCCAGTATGACAGCTCAAGGAGGAGAGCCACAGCCCTGGCTGGTTTGGCTCAGTGGATAGAGCGTGGGCCAGAGGACGGAGGGTCCCGCGTTCAATTCCGGTCAAAGGCATGTACCCCCTGGGTTACAGGCTGGGTCCAGGCCTTGGGCCCCTGCAGGAGGCAACCCATCATTGTGCCTCTTTCACATCCATGTTTCTCTCTCTGTGTCTCTCCTCCTGCCATTCATCGCTCTACAGATCAATGGAAAAATACCCCCCGGTGAGGATTAACGGAAAGAAAAGAGAGGGGGGTGGGGAAAGAAAAGAAAAAAGAAAGAGAAGCACAGAAGAGGGAAGGATGTGCCGGGTCACGAGGCAGGTCTGCACCTCGGCCTCCTGAGTTAGCTGAGCGAACGGGCATCTCAGGGCCAGTGCGAGCTTCACCAGGGTAGAGTCTGGGCACAGGGGGGTGGGAGTTGCCCCTGCCTTTCCTGGGGGATGAGGAGCGGCTCCATGAGCCAATTCCTGCGGCCAGGCTCATACACCTTTGTCAGGAGCCGGGCCACCCCTAATTGGTGCACCCTCAGTGCAGCTGGTTCCAAGCCCTCCGAGGGGGGGTCAAGGGGCTGTGGGGTCTCCATGAACCAATTAGTGCCTCCTTGCCCAATGCACCCAGCTGCCAGCCCTCTTCCAGGGACGGGGGCTCGGTCCCTAAGCCACAGCTGAGGCCCCGCCTGGACCCCGGGGAGCAGGGGCAGCTAGGAAGCAGCTCTCAGAACGAGGCTGGAGGCAGGGCTCCCTGAAATGCATCCCCCACCCCCCACCACCCATCACCACCCTTCACTGCCGCCCCAGGCCCAGCCTAATCCCAAGTTAATGATGGTGGTGGAGGGGAGGGACCTGGACCACAGCTGGGACTGCCAAGGGGGGCTGGGAGGGGAGGAGTGGGGCGGAGGCAGCCAGGCTGCTGGGAACCATCTAGCTCCACAGCAGCTTCCAGGAACTCTGTCTTCCCGGAAGCCTGGTGGGGGCAGCTGAGGGGGCCCAGGGGCACCGGTGCTTCCAGACAGGCCTTCGTCCCGGTAAAGCCTTCTCCTGCACTCAGCCACGTGCACACCCTCACCCTGACATCTACAGAGGCACGTGCCCACACCTCGCACCTGCTCGCACTCCCTTAGGGGCACCCACATCGCATGTGTACACACACACACACACACACACTCACACACACACACACACACGCAGGCAGGGTTCCCTGTCCTGGCAGCGCTGCTCCCCAAGCCCAGGTGAGGGGCGGGAGACTTGAGTGTGGAGGGGAGCCCCCCCCCCCCCCCCGCCTTTCCCTGCACCAGGTGCAGCCCCCCCTCCCCCCGGCAGGGCAGCGAGGAGGTGGAGCCCAGGCACGTTCCAGGGCGGGCTGGGAACAAGCCACAGGATGTTCCACTCCAGCCTCTGGAGCTCTGCTGCGTGGCAGACCGGGTCCCCTGGCCTTCCCTGCATCTTGGGCCTAAAGACCCCGGCGGCTGCCCACACCCCTGCCTCCAGGATGGGTTCCCAGAGTTCTCCCTGAGGGCGCAGTGCTGAGCGGCCCCGGCCCCGCTCTGCTCCTGCAGGGTGGGAGTCTCCTGCTCCCTCAGCCGGGGCTCCCCAGAGAGGGGACCCAGAAGGCCCTCCCAGGCACCTAGGCCTGGGGCTGGGGCTGGGACACCCCTCCCACCCGCAGGTCATTCCAGTTTCCCAGCAGCCTCCCTGGTCCCGGTGCAGGACTGAGAGGCGCTGGGACGCGCTGAGACGGCGGGAAGCATGCCAGCCGAGTCCTTCCCTGGTGACACGAGAACCTAGACTGTGTGGCCGCAGCCTTGAGGGAGGGGTGGGAGCAGCCTGAGCTGGTGGGGCTCCAGGAGGACAGAGGAGGATGGGGAGCACGGGCACTCCTCCTCCCAGGGAGATCTTAGGGAGAAAGGGCCTGTTTGTGGATCCGGGCTGGGGTCAGGGCAGAGGGGCCGGCGGTGGGCCTAGGGAACGCCTGGAGTTGCAGCAGGTGGCCCAGGCGCTCCCCAGCGACCAGGAGGGCTGGGTCTCCGGCACCCTCTCCAGAGTCTGCTACCCCGGCCTCTCAGCCTACACTGCTCTCTTCTCCTCCCATCAGAGCGTCCTTCTCTCCCCACACCTCGCAGCACCCCTGGCATGAGCGCCTTTGCTGGGGTCCCTTTGCCTTTGCCTGGGCCCCCGGGGCTCTGCCCCCCTCTTCCCCCAGCCTGCTCCACCCGGTCTGCCAGGGGAGGGAAGAAATAAATGTCGGCCCCTGCACCACTCAGAAGGACTTCCTCCGGCCACGGGAATATTCTGTATTTGTGCTGGTCCAGTGTGGCAATTGGCCCTTCTTCCCTCCCTCCCTCCTTCCCTCCCTCCTTCCCTCCCTCCCTCCCTCCCTCCCTTCCTTCCTTCTTTCCTTTAAAATATACTTTATTGATTTTTTACAGAGAGGAAGGGAGAGAGATAGTTAGAAATATCGATGAGAGAGAAACATCGATCAGCTGCCTCCTGCACATCTCCTATTGGGGATGTGCCCACAACCAAGGTACACACCCTTGACCAGAATCGAACCTGGGACCCTTCAGTCCGCAGGCCGACGCTCTATCCACTGAGCCAAACCCGTTTGGGCTGATCATGCTTCTTTCATCTCTACGTGGCCAAGACTGTCCCTCTCCCAACCGCAAAGGGAAGGAAGATCCATAAATGGGGAGACTCTAGCCAGGAAATGCCTCAGAAACGCTAAGTGCCACAGCACTGCAGAGCCAGTGGCTTCTGTAGTCATCGCCCCAATAATAGCAATGACATAATCCTAGGCGCACACCCTGCTGGGCTGCAGGGACCTCCCAGCCCTCTTACCTGGAGAGGCCATGATGGCCACAGCCAGCAGCAGCAGCCGCAGTGGTGGTGCCCTCCTCCCAGTGCTGGTCCCCATGGCGGCGTCCGGGCCGAGGGGAGGAGGAGAGGAAAGTGCGGCAGGGCGCTGAGCAGGACCTGCGGAGGCAGGAGGGCAGGGGCCCTGAGCGGAGCGCCCCTCCCAGCTCCAAGCGGTCTGGCTCTTGCCAGGGCGAGGCCGGAACTGCTCAAGTGCTCGTCCTCCCGGAGCCCGGGGGAAGGGGCTTGGCCATTACCAAGGAGCTCTCCCATGGCTGAGTGCCTCCCAGGCCCCCTGGGGAGTCTGGCTCAGTCACTGCCCTGCCTCCTCCCTGCCCTCCTCTACCCCCTGGGCCAGCAGGGACCTCGGGAGGGGAGACAGTGACCGACTGGGGTCAGGAGGCAAGGCCAGCTGCCAACTCTCCTGTAATAGCTCCCGGTGTGGGTCCTGATGCGAACAGGGCCCGGGCCTGGACCTGGGGAGCTAGTGACATCTTTCTCTAGTAATGGGGGCCCACTCCCCCCATAGCTGCCTGGGCAGGGGGCGGAGCACCGTCTCTCAGGCCCAGCCTGGCTTCTAAGGAGGCATCAGGTCTTTGCGGGCGGAGCCATGTGGCCCGTTAAGCGGTGCTCCCGACCACGGGCGGGCGAATGGGCCAGAGAGGCCTGAGCTGAGAGCGTTCGTGCAGCTCCTGGAGGAGCTCCTTCTGGCACCGAGATGAGCGGGGTCTTGGCTAAATCTTGGGAGCTCAGGGCAACCTGTTCCCTAGGGTGGAGGTCCCCGAGAACAGCTCAGAGCCCCCTCTGCCAGTCTGACGGGTGGGGCCGCATCCCTAGAAGTGAGGCCCGGGCCAGCCTCTCCATCCACTCCCCGTCCCCGGGCCAGCCTTCCAGGTCCCGGAGGGAGCGTGGCATCGCAGGGGCGTGCTTTCGGTGATTTGGGTCCCTGCCAGAGCTGCCACAGGAGCCAGCAGGCAGCCAGTCTGCGTCTCTGTCCTGCCTGCCCCCTCACAGACACCTAAAAGCAGGGGGGTGGGGGGAGGAGGGTGCTTTGGGCAGGAGGAGAAGCAGGGCCTGGCTGGGGGCTCTTCCACTCGCTGTCTGCAAACCCGGCCCCTGGGACTCTGTGCCTCCTAAGTAGAATGGCTGCTCTCTACGGCCCCTTCCAGCTCTGAGACTGGGACTCGCAGAGCACAGGGCGCTGAGGGCCTGGGTGCTGTCCCCTGGGCGGGGTGGCCGGGGAGAAGGCAGGTGCCGGAGGCTCTGACCCTGGGCCTGCACAGGGTCTGAAAACCACAGCACGCTCAGTACCCCCATCTCCCTTCACGCTGTGTTCTTGGAAAGAGAGACCCCAAACCCTCTTAAGCCTCTTCGCCCAACTCCAAACCCAGCCTCATGCCCTCTTGCCTTTGTCAGGAAGGGCCTTGGGGCCATCTCTCACGACTACCTGCCCCCCTGTCCTGGCCACCTTCAGTTCCAGAAATTCAGCACTTCCGGCCCTTCCCCCGACACTCCATCTCAGTGCTGTAGTCATGTGACTCCTTACCTCTAAAATGGCCTCCCCTGGCCGGGCACACACCTCCACAGCCTACACGGCCCCATTCAAGCTCACCCAAGACCCGAACATGCCCCACAAGCATGCAGTTAGAATCCGGCTTGCATCCTGACTCCGTGGCCCTGCCCGAGGAGGGAGTCTGCCTCCATAGGAGGCTGTGAGCTCCCCACGGAGACCGTGTCTCCTTCACGTCTCACCTGAGCTGGGCAAAGTGCCTGGCATGGAATAGCTCTGATGTGCGGTGCTGTTTGAGGATAGCTGTGTTCTGTGTCTCCAGGAGCCTGTGCACATCACTCACACTACACTCACACTCTCACCCTCACACCCTCACACTCACGCTCTCACACTCACACTCACACTCTCATACACTCACTCACACTCTCACACTGACTCATACTCACACTCTCATACTCACACTCTCACACTCACACACACACACTCAACACTCACATTCACTCATAGACTCACACTCTCACACGCACACTCACACTCACACACGGTGGAGCTCAATGACAACTGATTGGGCTAACCAGGCTCCAAGCACTCCCAGAACAACCCAGGGCCAACACACCCTCTTTCTCCCTCATACACACACTCAGGTGCACACACTTTCACCCTCACACACTCTCTTACACTTTTTAAAAAAAAAGTTATTGATTGATATGAGAGAGAGAGAGAAAGAGAGAGAGAGAGAGAGAGAGAGAGAGAGAGAGAGAGAGAGAGAGAGGAACATCGATTTGTTGTTCCATTTATTTATGCATTCCTTGGTTAATTATTGTGTTCTGACTGGGAATCGAACCTGCAACCTTGGTGTATCAGGACAATGCTCTGGGCAACCGGCCAGGCTCTCATACACTTTTATAGACGCTCTCTCACATATATTCTCACACACATTCCGTTTCACACTCACCTCACACCTCACTCTCTCACATTCTCTCTCCCACACACTCTCAGGTTTCTAGGGTCACAGGGGGCTCGGTCACAGGAACCGGGGAGTATGGCCCCCGATGCTGCACTAAAGCAGGCAGCTCTCCCACCAGGGAGGCGCTGGGGCTCAGTGAAGTGCCCAGGGTTTGGCCTCCACGGACAGGATTCGGTGACATTGACTTCATCTCCTAAGGGCTTTGTGAGCTGGACAAGTTATTCCCCCTGCTGGAGCCTGTTTTCTCAGCTGCAAAGTGGAGGTTACTTTGCAGAGCCGCTGTGGTGGTCAGTGAGGTACTGGAGTGCCTGCCCGGGAAGTTTGGGGCCTGGGTAACAGCAGGGATGGGGCCAGAGAGAGGATGGGCTGAGACCCTCCCCAGCTCCAGCCGGAGCAGCCTCACTCAGCTCTGCTTCACGGACTGGACTTCCCCACAGGCTCACTGCAGACCAGGGGGGGGGGAAACCGTGTTCTGCCAAGGGCCATTGGGAATTTCTAACAACATCATTCACGGGCCACACAGAATTATCAACTTACAAATGAGCCTGCTATATTTGATCAAACATTTAATTAACTCACCCCTCATGCCTTGGCAGGGCCGGACTGAATGATTCTGTGGGCCTTAATCTGCCCAAGAGCCGGATGTCCCCCATGCCGGCTTTAAACTAAGGGTCCCCATGGTTCCAAAACGTTTGAAAACTCCCCCTTAACGCTAGTGTGGCTCATACCCGGGCCAGGCACAGAGAAGGGGCTCCATCATGGCTTTCTCATTCCCGCCCTTTGTCTGCCAGTCTGGGGGCTCAGTGAGGGGCAGGGTGCTGGCTTGAGCTCAAGGCCCTTCTTACCTTGAGTGTGCCAGGGCCAAGCAGAGACAGACTACCAGGGCGCTGGGGGCCCTGGACAGAAGCCACTGCTGCCCCTGCAGTGCTGCAGAGAGCGGGGTGGCTGTGTGTGTGCGCGTGCATGTGTGCGTGTTTGCATGTGTGTGATGTTGGTGTGTAGCTGTGTGTCATGCCTATGTGTCCCTGTGGATATGTGAGGTCTGGTCTTTGTGTACCTATGTATATGCCTGTGTTTCTGTGGGCCTGTGTTTGGATATGTCTAGTCTTAGTGTGTATGCCCATGTGTGTGCCCATGTGTTTGTGCATGTGTCTGTGTGTGTCCCTGCCTACACGAAGCATGAACCCAGCCCTGCCTTGTCCTCCTGTGGCCCATGAGGAGGCCTGATCCTGGATCACTCACCTCTACCCCCAGCGATCAGAATGATGTCACCACAGGTAATCACCAAACTCTGTAAATAACCCAATTCTCCTGCTCCTCCTAAATCTCAGCTTGACCCAGAGCTTTGTCAGTCACCTCAGGGCTCAGGGCCCTGGGCACCCTTAAGGGACAGACCGAGGAGGGCTGGGAAGGGGCTGAAGGGGAGGAGCACCTGGGTTGCACCAGAGAGGCGTGGCAGCACCAGGGGCCCATCAGCCTGTCAGCTGTACACTGAGCCCCGCTGTGTGCCAAGGCCTGTGTGCACACTCACACACACACGCGTGGAGTGTGGGTCAAAGGTTGGAGCTGAGGCCCTCCAGTTGGCACTTCCTCCCAGCATTCATTGCCATGTGCCAGGTGCTGTGCTGAGCGCTGGGAGACAGTGACAACACTGCCCTTATGGACCAGCCGCACCACAAGGATGTGCTCGTGAGCTCCACGGACCAGTCCTCTCCTCACGCCATCTGCCCCGCGGCGCGTCCCAGAATGCTGGGGATGGAGGAGGACTTTCTGTCAGGAGCGAGGCCAGAGTGGAGCTATGCCAGGCCCGGAGCTGGCCCTGGGAGGCCCGGGCCAGCCAGCCCAGCCCGGCCCAGGCCAGCTGCCCCGGTACAGGGGAGCCGGCACAGCCTGGCACAGGCGGGCACAGGCTGCAGCCATCGGCGGGGGTGGGGTGGGGTGTGGGGGGGTGCTGGGCCTCTGAGGCACCAACACACAGGGAAGCAGGCTGCTTTGGGGTTCAGAGGCTGCAGGGGGAGCTGGCTGAATGGCTGGCCCAGGGAACAAAAGGCCTGGGGGACAATGAGGGGAGGCGGGGGGGAAACGGAGAGCTGGGCTCAGGGCACTGCACAGAACAGCCAGAAAATGACAGACACACACCTCCTCAATGCTACCCCTGGGGACACCCGGCTCCTGGCCCTGCATCTGCCTCCACGCCACCCCGGGCAGACGGGAGCACCAAGGGCTGCTTTCCAGGGGGTGGGGACAGACAGAGGGGGAGTTGGGAGTCCAGTGGAGGGCAGAGACGAAGTGGTTTATTTTAAGGCGACGAGCACCGCCTGAGCCCTCAGGTCCCCCGTCCCACCCCACTGCACAGCCCAGACTAGCTGGGCGTCCCTCGACAGGGGAACTAGTACAGTCCTGGCAATGGTGTCATTCCTTAGTCTCTGAGCCTCCGTCTGCAACACGGGGGTAAGAGGGGGCAGCCACCCCAGGGGACTCCGGTGAGGTTAGCGCCGTTCCTGGCCCATGGTGAGTGTTGGGGGCGGGGGGTATGCGGGGGGCACAGACTGGTGTCTGCAGACGCTGTGCCTGGCGGTGTCAG